ATAATTTTAAGGCTCAGGAACTTGGGCCATTCTAGAGTCCATACTGAACATTTGATTTACTCCTTCGAGGAAAAAACCTTTTCAGTTCAAAGGATTCATTTTTTAACCCAGATACCAGTGCTTTATTTTATAGTTTATGAAGTTTTAAGAAATCATGTAGACAAATGAAACATGTTAATACTGAATTTCTTTAGCTGGTAGCTAGTAAACTAAGATACCTCTTCTAACAGAATGTCTCATCTGAAGTGCAAGTTCTGTTTTCCCCTGTGACAAGGAAGACATAGGACTTAGTTCGTTGAAAATAAAATTTGCAGAAAACATTTCTTATAGGGACTATTTTTCAGAAAAAAATGGTTAGATTGAGAAAGAGGTTGCTTTTTTAAGTTGTTGGGAATTCTGTTAAATAAGATTAGAGTGGTTGTTTTTTTTATTTTTCAAGTTATATATCCAAGTAAATTCCTGGTTGTAGCATTAAAGGGAAGAAGTTGCCAGCAATTGGATTTAGTCAATCTTATGCCCATGCTTTGAAGTCAGGTTATTTATTTCTTCTTTGCTTAGATACAGCAAAGATATTGATATTTCTTTTGTTAGTCCATACTGGGTTTCTTGTATCTTTTTAGACTATTTACTGAGTATAAAGTACAGGTCAGGTGTCATAGACATGAGTTTGCGCAAACTCCGGGAGATGGTGAGGGACGGGGAAGCCTGGCGTGCTGCAGTCTGTGGGGTCAGAAAGAGTCGAACATGACTTAGTGACTGGACAGCAGCAACAGGCGTCAGGAGAGATTTTAGTCAGCGCACTTATCATGATAAACATGAAATCAGTTATTTCATTAACTCCACTTCAAGTAAACAGGTTTTGTTTGAGTGTTCCTTAAATGCCCTGAATGTATCATCAACCCGTCATTAAAGTTACTTGGTGAAAATATTCCCTCTCAGGTGAGTTCTGATCACCTACCACCAGGGGTCACTTGAGCTCAAGGGCCCCTTTTCTTCTTTCCTCGTGTATGGAATATTCTAGCAGAGTGTAATTGAATTGAGTGTGGACTTAGAGCTCAAGTTCTCAGAATTTATGATGTCTTTAATTTTTAAAGGAGATGTTTTGAGTTTTTCTTAACTTACCAAAGTAGTTGTATAGCAACTGAAACATAATCCAGTCTTAACTATAGATATAGTAACTCAGCTTGCATGTTGTTCTTGAAGAATAGTAATACTGTTTTGCTCTTTTGATTACAGGGACTCCTATTGAATTAGGATGTCATGATTTTAAATGTTTTGATTTAAAATTATAAGAAACTTTTCCTCCTTTGTAGTTTTAGAATGCTGAACAGTGATTTACAAATTATCAATTGCCAGAGAATCTAAAGTAGTCGTGCTATATTTTAATCTGAGTAGTCTTTGCTTATGAGAATTTACTTGTAACAATAACTGAAAAACTCTATTCACTGGCTCTTAAAAAAATGTGCCACTGTTAAAACATGAGATTTAATAAAGCTATTGGTTTGATTTTGATAATTTAAAAAAAAAACAGTGTTGAAACTGAATTTAGTATTTATCATCTAGATTCAAAAAGCTTTCTTTAGCTTTTTATTCTTTTGGATAGTATTAGTCTATAACCATTCACGTTGCTTCAGTATGAATAGGAACAGTGGATGACTGGCTAGTTTATATGACTCAGCTGTCAAGTTAAAATCATGTTCGGAAATGGCACCCCGCTCCAGTACTCCTGCCTAGAAAATTCCATGGATGGAGGAGCCTGTTGGGTACAGTCCATGGGGTCGCGAAGAGCGGACACGACTGAGCGACTTCACTGCAGCATAACTGAATATCAGTTGCTATATGTAGCAAGTACCCTGAAGCACGTTTTGTACTATTTTTTTCAACTTTTTAATTTGAAAATTTTAAGCATACAGAAACTTTGAAAGAATAGTACAATAATCGCCTGTATATTCATCTAATATATGCAAAAATTACTAGCTTTTTGCTCTGTTTTATATACTTGTGTATTTTTCCCTGACCATTTGAAATTAAGTTGCATTATGACATTTGGCTTCTAAATACTTTAGCATACATCTTCTGAAAATAAAGGTGTTCTTTTGTCATGTCTAAGAAAGCAGCAGTAAATTTTTCCTTGGATTTTTTAATTTTTAAATTTCTATATAATTTTTAAAGATTACTTTCCATTATAGCTATTACAAAGCATTAGCTATATTTCCCATGTTATACAATGCATCCTTGAACCTGTCTACACAGTAGTTTGTACCTCCCACTTCTCCACCTCTGTTTCACCTCCTCCCAGCTGATAACCACTAATTTGTTCTCTATTATCTGTGAGTCCAGCAGTAATTTCTTAATCCCATCTAGTATTAATTCTATAATTAATTATTCCAATTGTCCCAAAATGTATTTTGTGGTTAGTCTTTTCAAACAAAGATTTCATCAAGGCCTACATATCATATTTTAGTTGTTTGAGATTGAATTCCACTAGAAGTTTACTATAAATGTAATATATTAATACTTTTTTTAATTTTCTGATATATGTGTACCTATGTGGGGTGTTTTCATTAATAACACCTGCTGTAGATACAGGTGGAATAGAATCTGGGTGGCAGTAAGAGGTAGAACTTACAGGTCATTGGTAGGAATTTAAAAGTTTTTTTTTTTTTCTAATAAAACTGTGTTCTTTTTTACATTTTACTGGTGTGCTTAAGCCCAAACATATAAATATGTATGTTAAATTATATTCTCTTTCTTTTATGAAGAAAAGAAATTTTATCTCCTCAGGCTTTGTATGTTTTATTCAAAGTTGATGTGCCTATTTTAATAAAAACATTTAAGGAAAATTGATTTTCCTTCAGTAGTTTGGAAACTGGTAATGTTTTTAGAAGCATTATCTCAACTACAAAGATACCTTTATACCAAGATTTGAAAGTACTCAGATTGTAGATTTTTATTTTATTTTATAAATATTATACTTTTAATAACACTGCAAAATAGCAAATAAATGGGTTTTCATGTAATTTTTGTTTCAAATATGACTTTAAAGCTCTGTGTGTGAAAGTATGTGTACTTGTGATTTTTTATTTTTTGAGGCTATGTAGTTTATTTGAAATATTATTCATCTAGCAGTCAGAATATCTTGGTCCTAGTTCTCCGTTACTGTTCTACAATCATCTAACCTCAGGCAAGTCTTTAATCCCTGTGGTTCTTGTGTTCTCATCTGTAAAATGGGGGTAATACAAGTTCTGCTACTTTGACAAGGTTGTTTCTTTATTTCTTATAACAAATAAAGACATGAAAGTGGCTGGTACACAATAGGATTCTATAAAATGTGAGGCAATAGGTTATTGTTATGCAAGTATATAAAATTACCTGGTATTGTTCGTTAGTTTTGGCAGTGACTTTTTAAAAATATAGATTGTATTATCCCTTTACTATCAAGGATGGTAAATAAATTATGTGTGCGTGCATGCTCAGTTGTGTCCAACTCTTTGGACCCATGGGCTGTAGATTACCAGGCTCCTCAGTCCATTGGACTTTCCAGGCAAGAATACTGGAGTTGGTTGCCATTTCTTCCTCCAGGAGATCTTCCCAACCCAGGGATTGAACCTGCATCTCCTGTTTTTCCTGCATTGCTGGCAAATTCTTTACTGCTTGAGCCATAGGGGAAGTTCCATGCATTGGTAGGCGGATTCTTCACCATCTGAGCCAACCAGGGAAGTCCAAATAAATCATTCAGTGTCCAAAAGAAGAGTCTTACCATTTTGTTGGGTAAAATAAAATATATATTATGAATGGTTTTATAAAATTAAGTATCCGTTCAGTTAAAAGCACATAATAGCAAAAATGTTACAACACAATTAAGGTATAAAAGTTTTGTTCTTTCGAGTGATTCTCATAAGTTTTAACATTGTGTTAATACAAATTTTATTGATACATGCTATTCAGGAGATAAATGTTTAAATTGTCAGTCAAAATTTTGTGGTCTGAAAGCAGCTTCATTTTTAAAATTTTTATTTACTTGTATCTATTTGTTTGTCTGCACTGGGTCTTAGATGTGGCATGCAGGATCTAGTTCCCTGACCAGGGATCGAACCCAGGCCCCAGGCATTGGGAGCATTGAATCTTAGCCAGTGGACTACCAGGGAAGTCCCTGAAATCAGCTTCTTGGTGGAAATTTAACCACATTAAAAAGTTGCATAGAATATAAAAATCATGTTTAGAGTGAAGCTCACTTTAATTCTGTGGGAAAACTATAGCTAATTTAAACCCTGTTAGTGTATGGTAGCGTAGCATCACAGAATTAATATGAATATTTCCTTTTGTCATTTTTCTTTCCTGCAGCTTTCACTGTGTGTCTAGATTAACATAACACTGGTGTAGATATCTTAGATGCGTAATATTATGCTTCAGATTTTGTTTTCATCCAGGTAACCTCGAAAGAATTCTGGATATTGATAGTTTTTCTATTTAAAATGAATAGAAACAAGTCCTAGAGTTATCTATGAAGACATCACGGTTAAATTTTTAAAGTGGTTTGCCTCACATAAACATCACCATCTTCCCCATTTTAACAGAGTATGCGGGTCTAATGACACATTATGGTTCATAAATGGCATAATACTCTAGGCTTGATTTTAGTCTTATAAATTTTCTACTTTGTTTTAAAATAATCTACTCTGAAGCCTAATACTTCTGTTAGGTATAGCTATTTCCACAGGTCTTTGCTCAGCATTTAGCAGATGTTGCAAATCAAGATCTGGCAACATATGTATGTATGTATGCATTATATACATAGATTTCTCCTCGCCACATGTTTTATAGAAGCATTTTATGTTTTATTTGTTGTCATAAAATTATATAAAAAGTTAAGATTTTTTCCCCATGTTTCCTTGGGAATTAAGCTCTTAATCTCATACAAAAAGGTGACCTTCATTTTCTAACTGTTTAGGTTCTTTACCATATTAACTTTGTATCACATTTTTTTCTTTATAAAACAGAGATGTGCTCCTGCCTCTATTCGCCTAATGGACAACCAGCAGTTTCAGTTTGGTAAGTAAGGAATGGTGCTCTTAAAATCTGCTCACTAAGCCACAAAAATTTATGAAACACCAGTTATGTGCCAGAAAGAAGACTGAGTGCAGAGCTGGAAAAATAAATGTCAAAGCTCCTAGCCTTCAGGAAGCTCTCAGTCTAATGAGGACAGATAATTATATAAATAAATAAGTGCAGGAGTATCAGAGATGATATGAAAGAAGACTGCACTGAATACCCTGGGGTGCAAATGAAGTAGGTTGATCCTACTTGATTTTACATAAGATTGGGGCAGAGAATGGGGAAAGCCTTCTTGAAGGAGTCATGCTCAAACTAAATCTTAAAAGGTGAATAGAAGTTTGCCTGAGATCATCCCTTCTTTCTTACCGAATTTTTGTTCACTTGTCAACTAAAAATATGATATCATAAACCTCAGTGCTGAACTTCAGATCATTCTGTGTGACTCAAAAGAGATAATGTGAGCGTGGTTACAGGAGATAAAGCTGAATGGTAGACTAAGGCTTTGCAGGATAGATTTGGGTTTTCTCTTGTCCATAGAGGGATATCTTTGTAGAGGGAATAGAATAAATCAGCTTTACATCTTAGAAAGCTCATTCTGTTAGCATTATGCAGAATGGATTAGAATGGTGCAAGCCTGGGGGAGGAGTTTAAAGGTTTAAAGAGGCAAATATTGACTGGGCCTTGTTTCAGGCAGTAGCAATGGAGATGGAGAGTAAGGAATAGATTTTCCAAAGAACAGTTTGTCAACTGGATGTGGAACGTTAAACAAAGGGAAGCATTTAGGGCAACTCCTGGTATCTGATTGATTGATTAATTGGATGCATTGAATAATAGTCTAGAAGAAGAAATGATGATTTTTGGGAAAAGACATTACAATGAGTTGTATTTAAGGTGCCCATGGGATATTTGGGTGGAGAATTCAGTAACAGTTAACCATGTTTCTCTTTTTTCCTATTTTGCCTGAAGTCTTAAACTTTCTAACAGAATTTATCATCTTACCAATTTTAGTTTTATTTCTTTTGAGTTTTTCTATATGCTGAAATTTATTTTTTATCTAATTTAGTTTATAAAATGTATTTATTTATGAAATTTAGTTTGGGATTTAAGTTTATAGAATTTAAGTACCTTCAAAATAGTCCCATAACAATTGCTCAATAATAATTACTAGAGACTGTTAGGCAGTCTTTTGTTTGGTCTAAGAGTAGCTTAAATTTTTATTTAGGGAAGAATGATTATTGTAATTATATAGAAATTGAACTAAGGAATTCAGATAGATAACATAAAATGTTTGTTTTAAAATTACAAGTCACAGCTTTCATTTTTTTCTTTAAATTGGAGGATAATTGCTTTACAATATTGTGTTGGTTCTGCCATGTATCAGCATGAGTCAGCCGTAGGTGTACGTATGTCCCCTTTCCTAAGTCACAGCTTTCATTTCTTTAAGTAAATTTCTTTCAGAATAACTGTACTACTGATAAAAGTTTAAGATAAATGTGTCCTATAAATGATGAAATTTAATATAATAATTAAATGAAAACTAAGCCACCTGTGTGTCTGGCTTGCATTTGGAGTCCTAGGTATTAAGAGAACCATGTGTCTGTCTGATTGATAAAACTATATTATCCATTTATATGCTAGCATTGTAGTAAACTGTCTTGGACATTGACCTTAGTAAAATTAATTATGTGGCCAGATTTTATTTATAACTGGGACCTATGACAATTTTTAAGCAGTTTCAAAGAAAAGACCCTTCTGGCCGCCTGCCCTCCCTGTTGCATGTTCTCTAACTGTACCTGGGAACCTGCTTGCAGATTGGCTCTACCCTCTAGTCCACAGTGTGTCTCCTCTCCCACCGCCAATACAGATTTGATCCTGTGTCTTTGCTGTCTGTAACCTTGCTGATTTCTCAGTGTTCACTGAAGCCTTCCCACCTATATATCTTGCCATGGATTCATGATCAATCAATTAAAGAAAAACTCTTAGCACAGCAAGGGGTTTCTAAGACCTTATACCAGCCATATGGCTGACTGTTCAATATTTGTACCATATTGGTTGTTAACAGAACACAAACCTTACTATTAATTGTTAATATTTTTATTATCACCCCTTCTCCTGACACGACTCTTAATATATTGAAATAATATGTTTTCAGTATATTGAAATGATACATATCATCAAGTACACTGAAATGGTCTACAAATTTTCCTTGTGAACTAACCTTTGTCACATTTAGGAGCTGTTTCTTGTTCATTTATATGTGTCCTGTATCTATCACATAACAGGCACTTACATGTTGATTGACTTAATCATCAAATTAGCCGCAGAAGGTAAACAGATCTTGACTAGCATATAGTGTAGGGCTAAGCACATTATTGGGGCTTCCTTGGTGACTCGCTGGTAAGGAACCTGCCAGCCATTGTAGGAGACGTAAGAGATGCAGGTTCGATCCCTGGGTGGGGAAGATACCCTGGAGGAGGAAATGGCAACCCACTCCAATACTCTTGCCTGGAGAGTCTCACGGACAGAGGAGCCTGGCAGGCTGCAGTCAGACGTGGTTGAAGTGACTTAGCGCGCACACACGCAAGCCATTATTAAGGGCTTCTCTGGTGGCTCGATGGTAAAGAATCTGCCCGCAATACAGGCGACCCCTGGTTTGATCCCTGGGTCAGCCTTGAGTCAGGAAGATCTCTGGGGAAGGGAATGGCAACCCACTCCAGTATTCTTGCCTGGAGAATTCCATGGACAGAGGAGCCTGGTGGGCTACAGTCCATGGGGTCATAAAGAGTCAGACATGACTGAGTGACTTAACACTTTCACTAAGCACATTATCCCTAACACACAACCATCCCTCAAAGCTGTATTTCCAATTTATAAACAATTCAAAAGCTAAATATTTTGATTATAGTCCACAAGTTACATGTGGTAGAGCTAGGGTTGAACCCAAATCTGTCTGACTCCAAAGCCCGTGACTTTTTCTAATGCTTCAGAGCACTTCTTTGAAACAGGGATTTATTGAATCCTTTAAAACTATTTAATTAACACTGTAACAATAACAAAATTCATTGATCAAAACTGTCCAGCTAGTAAATTTAGCAACTAGTTCATTTGTTTACTATAAAATAAAATAGCTGGAATATATTTAGGATATAATTAATTTGATAGGCGAAATGAATTTAAGTAAAAGATAATATCCTCTTAATTAATAATAATACTTGACCCACTTAAAAGTTAGTATCACTTTTATAATAATTATGCTTCAAAGCTATCATGTCAATTCATTGTTAGAGATATATGAGACTAATTCACAGTAGTGTTAATGAATAGAAGTTACGCATTTAAGTTGCAGTGTGATAAGATGAGCATATACCCGTAAGGATTATTCTATATCAGAGTAGTAATGTTTGGAATCTTCATACATTATGTAAAGGTATGTGGACCAGAAGTCTTTTTTGAGGAGGAGATACACATGCTCACTCATTTATGTTTACATATTTATTTCCAATTGTTGTTAAAGTAGGATAAATTTCACTTGGGACACATTTTGTTGATATCTTTAACTTTATACCTGCTAGAAATGGTATCTTTTAAAAGTGCTGGTTATACTAGAGAATATCTCTGGTAGGTTACAATAAAAGAAAACAAAATCCCCAAACAAACCTCTTGTGATCCAGTATCTCAAAAAGATTGCTAGGTTGATCTGTATCTAATCTGCCCTTCATTTTTTGTTTTTTGCTTTGTTCAGTTACAGCATTGATATATAATTCTTAGCTTCTGGTTAAGACTTATGTTACTTGGTCTTTTATGTAATATAAATTCTTATTATTATGTATAAGAATGTAAGAAGTATTACAAGTTCAGATTCTCACTTTTAAAAAAATAGATGAATGGGAAAACAAAGATAGCAAGTGATAGTTTTTCCTCCAGAAATATTTCTCCACTTCTCCCTCTTTTTTCCTTCAAACAAGGTAGTTTGTTGTCTACACTTATTTTAAAAGAAGGTATCGACACTTTAAAAATAAACAAAATCCCCAAATCTTAAAGCCTTTTTTTAAAAGTAAACTTTTTAATTGGAAATAATTTTAGATTTACTAGAGGCTTTAAAATTCTTTATAAAAATTTTATGTGAATGGTACGCCAAATTTTTCTGAATTGAGCTCATAGTACCAAGGCCAGATGCATGACTCTCAAATATAACTGTCACAGAGTTAAGAAGTTGCTACTTTGAAAACAATGAGAAAACAGTAAAAGACTTTCACTCCATTAAGCTCAATCCGGAGGCAAACGATGTTAATTTAACAGACTCTGAGACACCATTTATGTTTTGGGGGGAATTTTAGCTCTCTGGGTGTAATTAAGGAAGCAATTACTAGTTATATGCAAGAATTCTGGATGAATTTAGGATTAATTAGGAAACAACCTTAATTGGCATTGTCTCCATATTTGGTTATAGTTCTGAATGGTTTCTGCATAATTAAAAAAAACCAAAAGTAGTACTAGCCACTATTGGGTGTTCCTAATGAAATAAAAATTAATGAAGTGATTTTACTATGTATAAACTATACCATTGAAAGATAAACTATGTGTAGTATTAAGTACATGTAGTATTTGAGTTTTAAAAAACCCAGGAAGGAGTTTGGTAAACAAAAAGTTCTTTGTGACTTTTGAAAGAAATGACAAAAGATGTAGATCTTAATACCAATGTTATATATATATATCATAGGGAAATTTTAAAACCTAAAGTCATGAAAATGTTCACTTTCTTTTAGGATACTAAGTTAAAGTAAGCCACTTGTAGTTATGAAAAACATAGATAAATTAATTTACTGTTAATTTAAAATATGAACTTTTTTCTTATTAGGTTATGCGCTTAAACCTCAGGTTTCCTCTATTTTTACATCATTTTTGGATGGATTAAAAAAGTTTTATATTACAAAGGTAAGGGTTTTTTTTAATGCTTAGGATATTGATTAATTTTGTTTCTTGCATTCTCTTCCTTACATATACCTGTTATACTTCTCCATGTTGCTGTGTGCATTTCATAATTGTTATTTTTTATGTTGTAATAAATATTGAATCAAGCAACTCAATTACACATTCAATTTCAGGAAATATAAAATCTTTCTCAGATTTGAAATTCCTGAAAATAACATTACATTGAATATTTTATGCATACAGTGTTTTTTATAGTTTGAATTTTTTCCTTAATGGTAGATATCTAGAAGTGAAATAAAAGTAGCAGTTTTTTAAAACTTTTGACAGTGGCAATGCCCATGTGCCATTTTTTGGTTGCATCCTTGCTGTTACATGTGGAATTTTTTGTTTTAAATTTAGTAAATCCAAGGGGAAGGATAGTACTTTATTTTAGTTGCTATTTCTTGCAACAGCATTTCTTGAAACTGACCATTTCCCTGTATTTCCTAGACATAATTTTTTTGTGAATTAGTTGAATGTGGTTATTTTGCCGGAGGTAGCAGATTTGTGGAGTTTTTATTTGTTTAAGAGAGGGGATGACTTAACGCTTTGCTGTGTGCCTTTTGAATAATGAAATTATTAGATGCCTTTTTCATAAATGTTATAAGTAGTTTTTCCAGTCAGATGACTTCTTTTTAATAAGGTTTCGTTTTATTTTTTGGTGCAAAATTTTCTAATTTTTATCTTTCCTGTGATTGTTTAATGACTGTTAAGCTTAGAAAAAACCTGCCTTCCTCCAGAACTATGACAAAGGCCATTTCCTTCTCTCTCTCACATTTTTATATTAGGAATTTTAAGAAATAATATCTTTATTACTGTTTAAATTTATTTCAATTTTATGGTATGAGATAACTAAATTAACCTTCATCTCCTGTTCACCTGATTGTTAACTAGTTGTGATAACACCATTAACTAACCTATCCCTGCTTTTCTTATGTTGATTTGCCATGTCTAAGACATTTTATTACATAGTAATCTAAGAAAATGACATTCTAATGTATTAGATTCTTTTTAATGAGTTTTTGTTCTTGAAAAATTAAGTGAATTTAATTTTGTAGATCTAATTTTCCCTCTTACTTTTCAGAATTTTCCTTGTTATCACCATTATCTACCTGTTCATAATACTAGAAAAATTTTAGAAACTCTTCATTATTTTAGAAAGCTTATTGATATTTTTTATTAAAATTGCAGCAGCAGCAGTTTGTATATTAATTTGAGCAAGAACTGACTGATTTATAATACTTAGTTTATGTGCTTGGGAATGTATGTTTTTAGACATGTTTTCCTAACAAAGTTGTGTATTTCCTGTTAAGATTATTCTTAGATATGTTGTATTTTTAATTGAAGGTGTAAGATCTTCTTTGAAAATATTACTTAGAAAGAAGTTATTGCTGGTATTTAAGGATGCTGTTGGTTTTTTACTTCCCTACCACCAAACATCCTCAACAAATGCTACTTTATTATGTTCTATCATTTTGGTAGTTTTATTTGATTGTTTGGTACAGTTATAATTCTTGCAAGTTATTTCTTGTATTTCCTTACCAATATATCATTGTAATTGACACCTTGGCATACTTTGAAATGAGGCGGTTTTCCATAGTACTGTTCTATTGTGATAACCTAAATAGGTACATTAAGCTTTCTTTTTGATTGATGTATAAAATTCCAGAGCTCAAATTTTGAAGAGCTGGTATGTTTGAGCTGAGATCAGAAGAAAAAAAGAGCAAAATGTATTTTGATTTATTGTTTTGTAGGCTGAAACTTATCAGTAATAATAATATTTTTTTGTAGTTTAAAGGATTTGATCCAAATCAGCTAAGTGTCGCTACATTACTGTTTGAGGGGGATCGTGAGAAGGTTCTTCAACATGAAAAACAAGTGTATGACATTGCTGCAAAATTTGGGTATGTCTTTAAGTTCATAATGTCAAGAGAAAGTTAAACTGAAATTCTGGTATCTCCAAGCAATTGTTAATGTACTCTTTTAAATATTAATTTATGTTCATAAATGACAGTCTACTTAAAATGTGTTGGTTTGTAGGAAGCTCAATTGGTATCTTGCTCTTACTATTCTAATCATATACATGACATAGTGAATCTTTTATTGTATTTTCTCATTAATAATAATTTTATAACTTTTTGTTGTGCTAAGTGAAGTAGAAAAAAACTCAGTCATGTTGCTATTTAGTGGTAATAGTATATGTATAAAAAATGGTATGTTTTTAAAAGGAAATTGTGTTTAATCAAAACTGTTTGATAAATTATCTATACTCCACCCCCTGTCACTTACTGTTTTGTGCTAGTATAAAGAAACAGAAAACATCTCACATTTATAACCAACTGAATAATGATTGGGTGGTTTCTGTCTGTCTGTTTGATGGATTATAAGATTGATGGATGAGAACTGTAGTGAAAATGTCATTTATCAGGACTACATTTTCTTCCTTTCATTTTTAAGTACATAATAAACTGACAGTTTTCTGGATACCAGTCTTTTTTTTTCTTCCTAATTTTCAGAGGTTAAAATATATCATATACATTATCTTTAATCTGGGTTCTGTGTAAATATTTACTTTTATCCCCCCCGCTTTTTTTTGCTGTTCTTTATGAGAACAAACGAACACTTAATTTGGAGCCATGTGTCTTAGAATGCTCCGCTTTTATGTGCTTTCCTCATGTATAATATTCAGTCCTTTGTCTTTAGGGTTTTCTGAACTTAGTATTAAAGTGTAGTATTCTTAAAGAGAAAAAGATCTCGGGCTTAATTTTTAGTTTACCTTTGAGCTGTGCTTGATTATTACAAAATAATCTTCCAGTTTTATTTTTGTCCTCTTCTAAAATTGGCTAGTGGAATTATACTTTTTTTAGTAAAAGCTGAAATTCACTAATCTTTCACTTTTTCTTCTCCTTAATACTTTTTGGGAACTATTGATGTTTTAACCAAATTAATTAAGAGTACTATAAAGATTCATTTAATGATCGGTTGGCTTGGATATCAGGTTAACTCTGAAATGTTTTGAAATGTATGTGTACGTATTTTTTTAGTTTCCAAGTTATGTGGAGTAACATATGCAATTTGATTTGAAAACTTTTTTCTTTAAACCCATGATATCCATGAGAAACAATTAAGGAGATTCAAATGAAAACCTTTTATTTATAAATTAAATATTATATATCTACTTAGTCTTAAATATTAGACATTGAAACTTTAAAAATTTATTTCTTTATATATTTAAATATTTATTTGGGATTTCAAAAAATTTCCAGAGTCATTTTTAGGGAAATGGATGCTTTAATGTTTTAATCATTGTTTGTAAGGTTAAATTTGCTTACATTCACCTTGCTATTTCCCACCTCCACCTCTGTGCGGACACACACAAATTGCACTTTGTAGAATCTATAATTATAATCTCAGTTCACAGTAGCCAGCAAATCATTACTAGTTATGTGGCACATTTCCTGTTAGACTGGGTATAGGATGGTGACAAAAGACCTTTTTGTCCTAATGCACACATAATTTTTATAGGGCATGACCTGTCTCTTGGGGCATCACCATTGATGACTGGTATATATACTATATGCTTGATTAAATATTTGCTGAAAGGATTAATGAAACCAGAATACTTTATTTTCCCCTGACATCTTTTATTCTACTTTATTTATGCCTGATTACTATGTTGCCCTGTTTTTAAAACAGTGTGTTTTAATCTTTAGGTATTTATATAAACCTTTTTGTCAGTTTTATTTAATTTGAACTACCAGCTGTGGTGAACTGGCTTTTCATGTAATGCCAGTTTTGTTTTTCTCATATAACATCAGCCAATTTACAACTTAAAAGTAAGAGTGAATCTTAAGATGATTCAGGTCTCTTTAGATACTGATAGTGAGACCCAGGACTACTGATTTAATTCCAGCAATGTGTTTATACTAAAAAAAATTTGTATCAATTCATCCCTTAAAAATAGATTATAGAAAATGAGATATCTATTTAAAGCAATGGTAAAGCATTAAAAACTTAGACCCTGCTTGGAGTGTAGTTTTTTCTTTGCTATTACTTGTGATTTCTTAATTATGTTTTGTAATTAGTTTTGTAGTATAATTTCATCTGGTGCCCTTCATTTAGATGAAGAAGTCTGTGTTGAACAACTCCATGCTATCTCTAGGCAGATTACTTAGGGCTCTTATTGATTTTTTGATACTTATATCTTCATGTGGTTTTCTAGTAGAAGTCCTGGTTTTTCCCTAGTTTTCTCTAGGCACTAGTTGTTTGTTTCAGCCACTGAAGATTCAAGGAATTTTTATTTATGATGCTACCCTGCCAACTCTTATTCCTCAATCATTTCTCCTACATGATTGGCTGAAGGAAAGCATCACTAAGTTTCTTTCTAATGAAGTTTTAATAAGTTAGTTTAGCTTACGTATTTTATTTTGAATTAGGGCTTTGTTAATCTATACTTTGTTTTCTGTTCTTTTGTCTTATCCTCTGTCTCCACCACAGTTGAGAACTTTTTTTGTGTATTATCTTAGCAGTTTACCTTTTTGCCTTCCACTCCCACCCAAACACTGTTAAATACATTTGAACACATATGATCCAACAGAACATAATAGCAAATGTTGAATAATCATACTCTGGTTGTTTATCTATGTTTGCTGGTGACATATTTTAAATTCTTTAAGAACTAAGCAGAATGAACATTGCCTGTCACCAACCGTGACAGATGTGTTGATATTTAGCATAGAACTTAAGGTAATATATTACTGTTTTTAAAGGGTTATACTTAAATTGTTACTTTTAAAGTGCTTAAGTTGTTTGACGTAATTTAACGTGAGTGATTAGGTTCACCAGGTGGCTCTTTTATATTAAAAAATTGTCTCACTCTTTCAATAGTCTTCCTAGTCCTTCTTCATGAAACAGCTTTAAATTTGTTTAAGAATCATGTTAATTGATATTTAAAATTTGTGGTAGAAGGGTAAGAAGTAGGGGATGGATAACATAAGGCAGTTGAAATTAAGTCTAGTTTTTTGAAATGGCTGCAAAAGTGGCAAGTTACAAGCATTTAATCTAAGCCCTACTGTGATTTACATATTGTATCTTAAAGTAATTCTGGCTGGTAAGATACTTTAAGTATCTTAAAGTAATTCTGAAAGCCTTAAAAAAAAAAATAGAGCTTCCAAAAAGCTAAGTTTGCAGGGAAACCTGTGATTCAGAAAAGCAAAGCCAGAACAGCTTTTCTTTGCAGGGGTTTATGGGTTTAGAATGGACATCTAGTTTTTTCCTGCTTTAGATTAAAAAAAAAATATGCATATTTCTGTAGTTTGTTGTACTAGATTCCAAGTGAAGCAGATTCTTTTTTCTTTTTGTCAGATTTAGAAGAGGATCTAAAGAAAAATAGCTTTGCCCTGGGACTGCAAAGTTGAACTCTTTCTCATCCTGATATATATATAGATGCTATATTGTATATCAGTAGGCTGGATATTAAAATAATAGACAGGTCTGCTAACTGTTTACACCTCTTACTTCTCACCAAGTACATACTCAGAATGCAGCTTTTCAAAGATTCCCAGCAACGGTCTTACACCCTTTCCTAGTCTTCACTCTCCTCTACGTGAACTGTGTCTGTTTTTTCTGTCAATAGGGTTTTTCCTCTCCTGGAGTCAGTGTCTGACTCCAGTTCATATCTACCTGAGGTATGGGTTCATCTGTTTTTATTTTATTTTTTTAATTTAATTTGTCATGATTTTATTAAATGTATATACATTTGGAATATTGTTTATCCTGTTATTTTCCCCACAATTTTGATAACTTCATGATATTTTAAATATGCTAATTGTTTAAAAAATGAACAGAGAAAATTGCAGAGAAAAAGTAGTAATCACTTAAAAATCTGCTCTTTAAAGGCTACCATCATTATCATTTCAATGAGTGAATTTCCAAGGAGCACTTAATCTTTCTCTTTGCCAATGATTTTTGTTGTCGAAACTATCATGTAGTAAATTTACAGATGTATTGATATCTACTTCGGTATTTCTTTTGATCCTGGTTACATATGCTACACTGTTCAAGTGTTAGTTGCTCAATCATGTCCAACTCTTTGCAACTCCATGGAATGTAGCCTGCCCGGCTCCTCTTTCCGTGGGGTTTTCCAGCCAAGAATACGGGAGTGGGTTGCCATTTCCTTCTCTGGGTTCATCTGTTTTTTTCCAAACACTTGCCACAGCAATTTTCTGACTAATTTCCTTTTTGTTTTGGAACTTTATTTGACACCCTACCCCAACCTCATATCCATACACATCTAACCTAGAACAGTCTTCTGTTTCTCCTTACTTTTCAATCTCAGCTGCTTGATGCAAGCTGTTTTCCTTGCTCATCAACATTCTACTAATAAACACCTCCCCTTCATTTCATTATACCGTGTTCCCATGTAGTTCTAGACTAGAGGTATTCCTATTAAGTCTTTACTACTCCTTCTGGGTGATACTAATTTATGTGTATCCAATTATAACACTGGCATATCTGATCTAGCCAATATATCCTAGCTTAAAATTGCCTTGCAGTATTTCCTCAGGAGATGTGGGTTTGATCCCTAGGTCGGGAAGATCTCCTGGAGGCATATGTGCTTGATCGCTCAGTCATGTCGGACTCTTTATGACCCCATGGACTGTGGCCCTCCAGGCTCCTCTGTCCATGGAATTCTCCAGGCAAGAATACTGGAATGGGTAGCCATTCCTTCTCCAGGGTATCTTCCCAACTCAGGGATCGAATCCAGGTCTCCTGCATTGCAGGTGGATTCTTGATCGTCTGAGCTATCAGCGAATCTCCTAGTGTATTGAGAAGAGAGACATAAAAGTTAACCCTCAATCATGGCCCAAGAAAGCCACAAGAAAAGATATTTTTCCATTTATTTTTATTGAGGGATTTTTAGTGGGTGCTTTGAGAGTTTGGGGTAAGTTTTATTTAGTTGACTAAAACTACTTAAATTTTAATTTCTGCCTAGTGGTGGAAAAAAGCAAAATCAAAGACTAAAGGTAGTGGAAATCAGTCATTCCTAGTCTTTTAAAATTAGAATGACTTTAACAAAATAGAATACTTGGACTGAAATATACATTATATGGGATTAATTCTAACTAGATCACCAAATACATCTTCTATGTATAAAATTACTTTTCAGTTGAAATGGATCTGTATGATACTTTGTAAATTTTAGTATATCTGTATAAGTATGTTTTGTCTGTCTTTTAAATGATAAGTCCCATGAAGTAAACACTATGTCTAATACTCCAGATGCTATATGTCAAGTATTCAAGAAACTTCTTGGTGTTAGAAGATAGTAGTCATTCATTACAAATCTTTATATATGAATAAGACTATAATACATGAATATACAGATTAGAATATTAGTAAAATAATATTTTAAGTATCTTGTCCTTGTGAAGATTATTTAAGCTTATTTCTCATGGCCAAGTCTCTGTTCTTTTTACAGTCTGAATAGAATTGGCTGAGTTTATATCACTCAGGTTTACTAGTTTGGTGGCTATAAAAGTTTGAAATTAATTACTAAACTGAATATTAAAAATACTTTTGTTGTCCAAGCCTATTCTCTTGATAGCACATTTTATAACTCTATGATAAATGAGATTGAAATTAAAATGAGATGTAATGTAATCTTTGTTAATCTTATAAGCAATTATCTTGAGGTATTGATCAGTTTGGTTAGTATTATTTATTTTTAATAGTTCATCTGAGATATATTGACAGTTTGTTTTTTAATTACAGGGGATTGGCAGCTGGAGAAGATAATGGACAGAGAGGTTATTTGTTGACCTATGTCATTGCATACATTCGAGTAAGTTATCTCATATTTCCCTTGTCAATTTATCTTGCAAACAATACATTTTCTTATTTTAAGTGAATAAAATTTTCTTTATTTTCTTAAATTTTAACCTGCTGTAATTTAACATGGACATGAGTCTATGGTTTTTCTACTTTATGAAGTTTTCTTTCATACCTTTGCACTTCTGTGGTGGCTTATGACTTTCCAGTTTTGATATTAGAACAGATTTGTACTCTGGGTAAAAAATTTAGTATTATAAGTTACTTATTATATAAGCAATATATTTTATATGCTATAAAACATATTTTCCTAGCCAAGATGGGTCCAGGTGTTTTATCTATTTAGTCACTACAAAGAGAAACACTCTATTCTTGAGTTTATTTTTAAAGAAAAGTTGATTTGAAGAAGATATCTTTTCCTTTCTCTAGTCCCCTCTGCCCATGACTTCCCTGTCTCCCTGCTCCTTTGATCCTAATGATCACTTTTTGGTATTGGTCAGTTTGCTATTTATTCAGGCCACTAAAATCTATCCTGCTAGTGTTTGTGTGTACATAGGCAGTTCCTGGATAGAGCTGCATTCATTAGACAAATGTTTGCGTTCCTCCCGTGTTTTCAGGCACTCCACCTGTGCCAAGGGCACAGAGGAAAACAAGACCGAGTTTCTGTCCTCCTGGAGGTTGTATCTCGGACTTGGGACCACTTTTCCGTACTCTTTTGAGGTAGATTGTAAAGAGTCCAGAAGGTTAAATTAGAAACGTGAAGTACTAACAATGAACAAGAAATACTAATATCATGGACTTCTGCATCTTTTATAATTCCTTGATTTTTGTGTATATGTCTTAACAGGATTTGGGTTTGGAATACTATGTATTAGGAGAATCGTTTGAGACTTCTGCTCCTTGGGACAGGTAAAATGAAACAAAATGCCTGATATTATTAAAATATGCTATACAAGTTGCTGGAGTAATTTATCTTTGTGTGTGAATATGTAAACTTCTAAAATTTTGTAAAGAAGCATTAAAAGAAGGTAGTCACTTTTATTTAGATTAGTGTCTTCATCAGAATGTCATATTTGCAAGCCATTTAAAAAATTTTCGATTTGTCCATGCCGCATAGAAGGATGGTATTACTGAAATTTACATTTTAAAGAATTTTATTGAACACTAAATGTCATGATGTGGTTTGACTTAGCTTTGATTTAAATTCTTAAATGGTTAATATGCTTAAATGTTCTCTAGAAAGTCTCCCCAAATATAACCTCCTATTGTAATATATCATTTAGCTTTTGATATTTGTATGTGTACTATTAATCTAGATCTTAGCTTGAATTTAAGTGATTTCTGAAAGAAATCCAATTTTAGGAAGCTATGTATAATTTCTGTTTTAAAATTATATACATGTATACATACAAATATTGGTTAGGGAAATACAATAAAAGCTGATTGGGAAATGTGAAATGGTTTTATTAAAAATAGACCTGTGAGTTAACTCATTCAGTAGTAGGAAATTCTTGAAATTGTTAGTTCGTTTTTATTCTAGGTATATTTTACTTTTTCTTTATAAAATTTATTATTTTAAGTCTGTAATAAAGCATATAAGATACAACAGATCCCACTGAACACACCTGTTAAGTGTTACCTACCTTAACATCTTTGTTCGACCATAATCTCATTTTTTCTCCTCCCCCAGAAAACTTTTTACTTTTCTACATTGTCCTCATCTACTATGAGTTTTGACTTCAGTGTATTGGTGCTAATACTCCATGCACTGAAAGATAGTAATCAAATTTAGAGTATCAGTCTGTTATTCATAGCATTCAGTTTTGGATGCTAAATTTCAGTAGGGGGAATAAATCTTATAAATAAAAAGAATCATCACCTCATCCACATCTGACACTTTTGAACAGCAGATATAGTTTGGGAGCTGTTCATAGTTGTCTCAGAGACCACTTTAGTCTTTAATACTTTTCCTTACTGGGGAAAATGGGTGAGTGTAGTATTACTTCTTCAGTGTTATGAGTTTCCTTGTCATCAATTCCTGCTAACTGATGATTTCCCTTTTGTCTTTAAACTCTTCCAACTGTGGAAACTGATCATGCACTTTCTTCATTTTTCTTTATCCTTTCCTTGTATATTCTGACATAGTTTTTCAACTCACTGACTATATCTGTTTTATACAGGGCTACATACTTGATTAGTTTTCATTTAAAACAATGTCTTCAGTTAAAGTATTAATAAATAAAACTAAGAGAAAGCAGCTGTATTCCTGACGTAAAATTTACTTGTTACCATTTAGTAACTTGCTTTCTCTTAAACCTTTAGCTAGGTAGAGACCATATATAGCAGCAAACCATGGGATTGGAGTCTTCAACGCTCACACGTTATTAGATTGCTTGGCCTTTTTGTGCATAAATCTCTTAAGGGATTATTGGTCTTACTAGTTTTTATGTGTTCCTCTGTGGCCTTAGCACAGTGACTGTACCTGTTAGGTGCTCAGTGTATATTCTGTATAAAGTCTGGTGAATGAACTCTGGTATAGTGTTAGAATGTAGCCTATAAAAATAGCTGCTTAAGAGATCCAAGTTGGAGATTAGAAGACTTTAGAGATACCAGCTTGAGATTTGTGATTAAAACCAAAGGAGCAGATACATTTTCAGGTAAATGAATGAAGGAAAAAAGAAGGCCTGAGAAAGAACTCTAGGGAACCCCAACATTTAAGGGATACAAACAAAGGATTCATTTAAGTCATCCAAATAAGAGTTAACAAAGGAAATTGAGGAATACAGTCTAGAAGATCTGGAGAAAACCAGTGCTGTGAGAGGAGCCAAGGGAAGTTGTTTTCAAGGAAGAAATGGTCAGTAGTGTTAAATTAGCTAATAAGGTCAGGTGAGAATTTAAAAGTATACACAGTTATGTTTGCCTCATAAGTAGTGATTGGTCCAAATGGACTGTATTGACCTTTGCATGAGCTTTGTGAGAAGATACTTTCAGAACTCCTTCCATACAAATAATTTCTAGAAAGTATCTCATTCAAGTAGTACATAAATTCCATTTTCTAGAGTCATAATAAAGAACTTATTACCTTTATAAATTTGTAATGCACATTAACTCCTATAGATATTAAGGTTAAGCAGATTTTATTTATCTGCCTTCAGCTCTCACAAAATAAAGCAGAATTTAATTTCAGTGTTGTTTTGTAAAGTCAGAATTTATAGAATTTTTACGCACTATATTTATAAAATTGACATGCTAATAAAACACTACAACCTTTTTCATATTTATATTTTATATATTTATTATATATATTTACTTATATATTTATAATATATTTATATATTAAATTTATTATATAAATATATAATATAATAAAAATTTATATAATTATATAAATAATATTTATATAATAAAATATATTCATATTTATATTATTTCAACATATTTATATTTTAATTATTTATTCTTCATTCTTATTGGAAATATAGGTAACTTTTGGTCATCTTTTCTGTTCTAAAGACCAAGGTTTAAAACACAGAATCATCATCAATATGTAGCCATGATATTTATTGGAGGATAAAATGCCTTATGTATACTTTGAGTCTTATTTTCCAGATGAAACAAAATATATGGTTATAAAAATATGTTACAACTCACATTAAAAAATCGATTAATATTGTTAAATATTGCCAGTCTTCCCTCCCCTTTAAGAACTGTGCCTTGCTTTTCTGTTTTCATTGACTTCTAATATTAAATAGTCTGGCATAACTTTACACATAGTTTGTATTCAGTAAGTCTTTGTTGAGCTGGATTTTAGCCTAGTGCTTGAAAATAATCTATTGAACATTTGGTGTAATAGTGTGATTACTAATGAAATTCTTTTTAAATTAAGGAATACTTCTTAGACATGGAAAGAGATTGTGTGTATGTGGGGGGGGGGGTCGTGCATGCATGTGGATGCACATGGTCAGTCATGTTAGACTCTTTCTGACCCCATGGACTGTAGCCCATCAAGCTCCTGTGTCCATGGAATTTTCCAGGCAAGAATATTGGAGTGGGTTGACATTTCCTCCTCCAGGGGATCTTCCCAACCCAGGGATCAAACCCGTGTCTCCTGCATTGGTAGGTGGAATCTTTACCTCTAGCACCAAGTAGGATATTCCCATAACCCAAATTGAATTTTCATTAACATTTTCTTTAGAATTTTTTAAAAAGTTTTTAAAATCTTACAGTTAAATTTATTTCAAAATTGGATTTTCCTTGGAGTAGGAAACTTATCTTCAGTAGACCTGAGTATGCTCCTCTGACTTCTGTCTTTCCTGTGACAAAAAGGGGAAGGACTTTGCTCCCTTGAATTTTTGAATGGAAGGCTCAGTTTGAATGATCATGACTCTTGTTCATTCTTGAAGGAATAAACATAAACTGTAAGAGAATTTTTGACTTGAAATGTGCTGATAAACCAGCAATTATTAGAATTTTTGAAACTTACATGAAAACTTAATATTCCATTCTTGTTTTCTAGGGTTGTAGATCTCTGTAGAAATGTAAAAGAAAGAATAACAAGGGAATGCAAAGAGAAAGGTGTTCAGTTTGCTCCTCTTTCTACATGCAGGTGAGTTTTTTTGTTGTTCTTATACTACTTCTTCTGAAAAAACTTTTTAAAATTAATGGAAAAGTGTAATTTGTGAGCCGAGGAAAAGCTTCAGTCTGCTACACTTAGCAGGCTTTCCTAAACTTCACTTGCCGTGTTAGTGACTTATTAGGACTATGCAACTAGGATTTTTACAGTGGTCCTGACCCAACAGAAGTAGAACTCCCTTCCACAGGTGAGCCTTCCGCCTTGTCAGGACAGCACGATGGTAGTCAAATGTCTGAACTCCTGGACTTCATTTATTGCAACTATACATTTCATAGGTAGTCAAGAAACTGTAGATTACAAACACATTCAATATAGCTCTTTCTCTGATAGAGGAAAAGCGTTTTAACCACTTTGTCAGTTGTTGATTAAATCATTGGGTATGGAATGTAGGAATGAGTGGAGCCAGAAGACCCAAATGAAGGTTAACTCATTGCTCTCTAACAGGTCTTTCTGTGATGATGGAAATGTTCTGTATCTGTCCTATCCATTATGGTAGCCACAAGCCACATGTGGCTGTTGAGCTGTTGCAATGTGGCTAGTGTGACTGTGGACCTGAATTTTAAAGTTCATTAATTCAAATAATTTAAATTTACAATGACACATATGGCTAATGTCTTCCACATGGGACAGTTATGATCCATATTGGATCACAGTTAACTAATAATCTTGTCCTCTTAAATAGCAGCAGACCTAAAGGATGTTTTCTTGAGAAGGGGCACTTTGTGTCCTGTCTTTTGATACTAATTTTCTCTGTGAACTCACAGAATAAGAGGCCTACCTGTCTAGTCTGTCAGGCCGTGTATTATAAAACTGAGAACAAATTGGGCCCACTAATCCAAAACTCATTTATTAATAGTAAAAGTTAAAGCATTTAAAATAATAGGTGTATTCTTGTCGAGTTGAGGATTTTTTATTCTTTTGTTATGTCAAACCTCAGCTTAACAGATATCCTTTCTTCTTCTACCCTTCTTCCCTGTTCAGCATCTCTTGAGATCTCCCCTTCCATTATGAGACTACCATTGTGATAAACTACTACTTACTGAAAGTGACTGGGAAGTAAAATATTCTGTCTTTAGGACACCTCCTGTAATAACACTTAAATCTAGGTTCTTTAAATGGTACTCATAAAGCCTAAGGATCTTCATTATGTATTGTACTGCAGGTGGATAGAATTGTTATATATATATACTGAATTGATCATATGTAATTTATTCTGTGGCTGTTTTTTTAAGGATTTTCTGATAAAAGCCTAATGCTTTAGCTTCTATGATTATCTTATAAAACCAAAGTTTAGAATGTGCAAAGTCTAAGTTAATTGAGTGTTTCGCTAAATAGGAGTTTTAAATATAGTTTTAATAGCACATACTTGATTAAACTAACATTTAAGTAGAGTTTAATTTTAGTTGAGTTTGATTTGGACTGATTAATAAGGGCTAAGGAGTTTATTCTGTGTTGAGTGTAAACATTTGAATGTGTGAGATGGACTTTTTAAATCATTTTTTAAAAAGCTATTCTGAAATTAATTTAAAATAGTTGTAGATTTCATTGAAATCAAAGATTCTAAGGAAAAGAATTCAGCTGTAGTGTGCATTTACTGATTTTACTTCGTTTCTGTCTTTTAATAATTATTTTGTGTATTGGAATTCTAACCCTAAATTTTCTGGACAAATTTTGTGGGAAGAGATTACTAGCCAGTGAGTCTAATATAAGGACAGTACTTTGAAAAGTATATAGCGCACTTTTTTTTTTTTTTCCAGAAATTAAAGAATAATATAACAACTTTGGCAGCAACACTATCTCTTGTTCAGATGATTTTGGAAGACATTGGTATTTAAATGTCTTAAGTGATAGAATTAAGCTGTTAATAGGTTTTAGTTCTAAGTCATTTTCTGAAATGGTCCCAAATTAAGGTTTTTCAAAAAATGTTATTTCTACTTTGTTTGAGATACTGATCAATCAAGCTTTACTGTAATTTTAGAAGCCTGCCTCTCTATTGAAAACTGAATTGTGTAATATAGATCCTGGGTTTGTGGGAAGGTGGCAGTGTTCTACTAATATTAATTATATTTTCTGTTTATTGATATTGATGATTCTCATGTGAGTGATACATATTTTCTAATTGCTGTAAACTCATTTCATTCTATATTCTTTAAACATGGTCATTTGTAGTGATAGTGCCCTTGTAGTTAACATAGTTCTCCAATTTGTCTTAAACTTTGTAAATCTGGTACTTCAAATGTAAACATTCAAGGGCTCTTTTTTATGGGTGTGAATTAACACTAGGAGAAAAACACAGCTGGCAAATTGACAGTAGCATTGTTAAACAGTACATTTCTTCTGTTCTCAGGCACCTAACATTTGGCCTAAAAGGCCATTAAAATTTTAGATTAGATTCTATTTGTATTGTATAGTAAAAAAGAGTATTTCCTCTATATTTGCTCCTTCTGTTGAATTAAATTCTTTGTGGGAACCTCTGTAAATTGTTTTCAGAGATCTGACTGTGATTACCTTAGCTCCCTTTTAAATGCTTCACCTAATTGCATTTTCAAAGCCCAAATATATATCATGTGTATGATTTGTTAATCTAACATTCTTGATATCTTTTGCAAACACACGTACAGCATCCTCACATGTGGGGCCTAGAGCGTAAACCCTTCAGAGATGCTGTCTTAGGGCTTTGTGTCTTTCACTTTGTTTTCAAAGTCATTACTAGCTTATTCATGTGAACTTGGTGAAGATGTTGTATTTTAGCCAATCACTTTTGGTATTTGAACATTTTTCTTGTTTCTTAAGTTAAGTTCTATTTATTTCTCTTAACTTTGAGGAAGTTTAGAAGGCTTGTAAGGGATCACCAAGTTCCATGAGGTCTGTTTTGGAGCTGTCTGTAACTGCAATATACTTGGTAAAAAAAAAAAAATTCCTTTCTGAGGAAGTGGAATTTTTGTTTATTTCAGGCCAATTGGAGAAATATTTACATCATCTTAAAATTTTAAAACTTTTTGGGATAACAGTCCAGACTCACCAAAAAAGTTATGAAAATAGTACAAATAGTTTGTTGGTATCCTTTATCTAGCAAATCTGTTTTCCTTCTATGGAGTAGGAGGGTTGGTAGAGAATGAGATTATGTATTAATCAAATCATTCAGACAATACTGCCTTTAAGTTTCTAGATATGGAATCTGATTTCACTTAAAGCCTTGTGGGGGATTTTTCTCTGTTTGTTTTTTAGGGTGACACAGACTTATGATGCAGGTGCATGTATCTATTTCTACTTTGCCTTTAACTACAGGGGAATCAGTGACCCACTGGCTGTGTTTGAACAAACTGAGGTAATTTTGCATAAATGAATATAGCTCTTATATTCTTTTATTAATTTAAATAAACTTTACTGTCAACTTATGGATTTTAGTTTGACTCTCTTTAATAACTTGTGGTTTACCTTGGTGATAGCCCATAGAAATGAAAAATATAATTTTTGCACTGGATTGAATGCTGAATTAAAAGTCTAAAATGTATATTCCCTACACATACTATAATTAATATTCTGTAGTTAATATTCTGTGGCCTGTGATTCTTTCATTATTACTTATATAATATCTGATTAAATTAAATGATAAAGACTGTAGGGATCATTGATAGCACTCTGGCAGCCCACGCAGCTCTAGATGGTGACTGCTCTAAAACTGAGCAGTTTTAGAGGTCAGCAACTCTAAAACTCTTGGTCGATGTTGCTGTAATTTCAGTTTATATTTTAATTGATTTTAATTAAAAAATTAAAGTTATATGTCAGGCTTTGAGGTTCATTTGCTAGTAGTTTCTATTACATTTCTTAAATAACCTCAAGCTTCTAATTGTTATCAAGCCCTCTGTTTGATAATCAATGTTTCTCATGACAAGAATGCCTGGAGTTGAAGAAACAGACCAGAGTATGGGAGGAAGTGGGAGGAGCCTGGGTTTGTTAAAACCTCAGGTGTCCTCATATTAACTCTATATCCTGCCTGCCAGAGATAGTACCACAGGATGATTTTCAGTGGCACACTTTTAGATGCAAACCACAGACAGGGTTTGGTTGGCTCCCTCTGAGGCCTCCTTTTTTAAAAACTGAAACAAAACGCAGCTTTTCTGAGGTATAATTGAAATATAGTAAACAGCCTATGAGTTGTACAGTTTCATGGGTTTTGACATATGTACGAAATCATCCCAATCAAAATAATGAGCATATCTGTCATCCTGAAAAAATCGAATCCTCTCCTATCCCTTTAGCCTTTTAGTGTCTTTGTATTGCCTTCTGGCTACTCAGAAGCCCCTTCCCCACAGTATTAACACTACAGAAGTGAAAGTATTCCTTCTTTCACGAGCCAAACAGTCATTCTCTATAAGTGCTCCTGGTTTCAAGTAATTATTGCTTTACTTAAAATAATTTGTTAGAAGAAACAGTCTCTTGGAGTAGGGTGAGCATACGTACGATTCATTTGAAAACCCTAAGTGCTAAGTGACGAGGGGTCTTATAAGTTGCTTCGCAATGAGATGTCAGTCCTGAAGGGAGGGCCTCCTCTACTGCGGCCTAACTCTGATGGTTTATGCACATCCAGGTAATTCTGAGAGTCACAAGGCACTGGAGGGTTTTACCTCCTATCTGCTGCACATTCATGAGCAATTGAGTGTAATTACAGTTCATGTAACCCTTTTTTCACCCTGTACTTCAGCCATTCTTTATCTTTCTAACCTTCTGCTTTATAAGGAGACTAATTAGAGCCTAACATGTTAAGAGGATAAAACAAGGGTCTGCCCCCACCCCCCTCCACCCCCCAAACACACACACACATTTAGATATCCAGAAGCCCGACAAGTTATTTGTCCCAAAGCAAGGACTTCCCAGGTGGTACTAGTGGTAAAGAATCTGCCTACCAGTGCAGGAGACACAGGAGGTGTGGGTTCAATCCCTGGGTTGGGAAGATTCCCTGGAGGAGGACATGGTAGCCCACTCTAGTACTCTTGCCTGGAGAATCCCATGGATAGAGTAAGTAGCCTGGTGGGCTACAGTCCATGGGGTCTCAAAGAGTCGGAGACAACTGAGCCACTGAGCACGCATTGACCTAACAAATGTTCTCCATCAGAGTTTTTTATCATTAACCCCTGATAGTTTTGTAAGTAATCTCGAGTCTGTGTACACTGTATGATATTAGGTGAGTAATTTAACTGCCTAAACTTTATTTTACCTGTGAAATAGGAATAAAAGTAATTATTCCATATGGCTTTAGTGAAAATAAATGAATTATTGCAGGTAAATTACTTTTTACTTTTCTGGACATACTATAAGCAGTCAATAAATGTTTGTTGGTATCGTGAGATGTTTACTTCAGAGTAGGACGTGACTCCTTACAAAACTTTTTAAAATTGTTTTTAATCATTTAGTTAAGCTGCTGAATTCATTATTTTTCCTTCTTCTTTTCTAGAATCTTAAAGTAACAATTATAGAATTTGTGACTATTCACTAGGAAAAAACTTAAAAAGCTAGGCTGCATATTTTAGTTGCTTTTTAAAATACAGTTAACCTAATAGAAAAGAAAATTAGACTTCCCGTTTATTATTTAACCCAGAAAGTTTGTGTTTCCTTTGAGAGCTGAGTCTTAACTCTTTCACTTCAAAGTGATCTGTTTGTTGTTTTGTTTCCAAATACAGGCAGCTGCTAGAGACGAAATCCTCGCTAATGGAGGGAGCCTGTCGCATCACCATGGAGGTATTCTTTTTTGAGGGGTAGAATTTCTGATATTCCTACTGTTTAAAATATTTAGTTTGATAAAATGCTGGGACTATGAGGAATTTGATAGCACTAGAGATCTGATCTTGGAAGTTTTTGTGTCTGTCGCTGAGTTCACCTGTGTTGTGGCAGTAACCAGCTGAAGCTTGATTTGACAAGCCTGTCTGTATAACAGGACCTGGTCTTTCTTCTGAGTTCTTAGGAACTTCATGTTACCCAAGATAGCCCAGCCAACCTGGGAGGTATTTGACCATTATAGTAAAAGTTCTTAAAGGGGGAAGAAACCTACATAACTGTTTTTCAGCCACTACTGGAATGTAGCTGAAAGTCAGTTGTACCATATATTGAAGAGCTGTTCTGCCCACTCAAAATTCAGCAGATAAATTAAGACAGGATATGAAAAAAATATTTTTTCAAGATTTTAATGCTGTTATAGTGTTCCTCTTTGATCATTATAGTTACTGGAGAGTTGATCATATCACCAATAAAAATTATGATATGTCTATCTATGTTACTAGCAGTGTTTTTAATATATAAATTGGTGCCTAGAAAAATAGATATGTGTAGTTTTTTTTAGGGAAGTGCATGAAGATAAATGACAACTGATTTGAAAAATTCAACTCCTATTCTGGATTCTCCGTATCCCTCTTTTCCTATTTGATTTTCCATCATAGCATTTAGCATTATCTAACATTATAGTTAGCTATCTCCTTCTACTGAAAGTAGGATCCTCAGTAGGGACTTCTGTTTCATTTCTCCCAGCACCAGAATAGTATTGGCCCCAGCCAGCTCTCCATACATGTGTGTAAGAACATTGAAAGAATTTTTGTAGAAAACATAGTGAGCTGTGGAGAATCTGTATTCAGCCAGGCCTGAAGAAGATTGCTAATATGAATGAATGAATTAGTTCCCAGCATCACTGTATCGATTTACTCTATTATATTCCCCCTACTTTTTCTTACTCTTCACAAATAAATTTCTAACTTAGCTGACTGATAAGCATTACAGGGAATGAACTGTCCTTTCCCTTCTCTTCCCATCTCATCTTGGAGATGCTAGTGAATGTTGGAATGATGAAAATGAAGAAGGGAAGAAACTGGATATTAGAAACCTCTTAAATGGAATTAAAAGCTTTTGATTAATCTAAAGGTCTAAACCTGATTTTGGAAATGTAAACATGAGGTATTTCATAAAGGTGCTTAGATTTTTTTGTACCTTCCTTTAAAATGTTCAGAAATCTATATACAGTACTTAAATTTTTTTTATATTTTATTTTAAGATGCCACTATATTACTACTATGCAAGGAAATTACATAGTAATTTTACATAGTATATCATGAAGTAATATGTTCTTAGTTCTAAATTGGATAGAGGGAGGAAGCAAAATAATTTAGCTGTAATTACTTACTTAAAGAAAACATTTTTTTTCCTTTCCAGAGCCAACAATTTTGCCTTTTGGTAGATGTCAGCAGCCAACAAGTGTACTTTTTCCTTTGAGATAAGAAACTGTAGGATCCTTGTTTGTGATAGTAAATATGAGAGGACATGTAATTCTACAAGAGGGTAAAAATAGCCAAATCTTGTACTGAATAGAAAGAAATCGAGGCTTAATTGTTAGATAATCAGGTTAGGTGAACTAATTTCCTTAATTGTGAGAGGATGGTCTCTGTTTACTCAGGTTTTACAGTGCGATAAATTCTACAGAAGTTAGCAGTGACCAAATGACCTGCAACCAATGTTTTTTTTCTCTCACCAATGACACTTTATGCCTCTGGGATCTATGAGGGTATTCAGGTCCAGCCACTGGTATCTCTGTATGAAATGTGAACGGCCATCAGTGCTTACTCAGATACCCCCTGACGCTGAGAGTTTCTTAGTAGGCTTTAACAGAACCTGTGTAAACATACTTGAAATAATATGGGCAAAGGTGTCATCACAGAAAAAGAAAATACACACAAATTTAAAATAATGAAGAGTTAAGTAATTCTAATATAAATTTATTTGAGACAGACTTTATTGTCTAAAGCTATGGTTAACAATCTGTTTTATTATTAGTTTATTGTATTTATTATTGATAATCCATTATTTAGTCAATGAACACAAATAGAAATTAATTTAAAAATAGTTGGAAAGATGTAAACGTTAAGTAACCAAAAGATCATGCTTATTCTTGATTCCAGAGCAAAAAATATAAATAATAGCTCCTGGGATATTTTTGATACCAGATATGCCTAATGCTTTTTAACATTGTTGTATAATATGTTTTCCACATTATAAATATTACTTGTCCACGAGACAGTAGCATTTCAAAGAGTGGTAGTCCTTCTCTTGAAGGATCTTACAGTTCCATAAAGTAAAATATGATAGCATTTCAAAAAGCCGCTGATCAAAACTAGTAGGATTGTGATATCATCATATTTAAACCAAGATAAGAGTCCCCCTCTTCTCTGAAAAGCACTTAGAAGTTGACTTTAATAAACATGTAAATACTGTAGATGTTAAAACATCAAAGAGGAGGGAGATAAAATAGGGAAAGGAATTAACGTTTATAAAGCATTTGCTAGGTGCTGTGCTTGACAGTCTCCTTTAATCCTGATCAGAATGCTGTGGAAAGATACTGTTCTGTTCTTTCGGATGAAGATAATTAAGTATTAAGGCTCTGAGAGTACAGTAGCTTACTCCAAAGTATGAGCAATAGTTGTTAGAATTTGAATTTGAACTCAGAGCCTCCTATGTCAGTGTCCTTGTCCTCTGACTTAAGAACCCAAAATAGTGAAAATAGGTCAAAAGCTAAAAAAAATTTAAATTGAACGCCTTTGAAAAGAGGCACATGATTTTAAAAGTATATGAGAGGAAATACTAAACATTACTGTTTCTCTTTTAAAATAATAGCTCTGTTTAATTTTGACCCTAAGTTTAGTTGCTTGTCCTGCTTTAGATGTTAAAACAGAAATGAATTAACATTTTAATTTCCTTATCATAAATATTTCATTGTTTTCTAAGTTCTTGCACATAAGTCAGTTTGACTTTCTGGTTGTTTTTGTACTTCCTGATTATAGGTTTCTAACATGTTGTCAGTAGCAAGCAATAAAACAATCGCAGGTCAGATTGTGTTACGGTAAAGCTCCTTGTATAATTTATGTGCATTTTCAGGTTCTAGGTTTATAAGCCTTTATTTGTTGAAGACTCAAAGGCCAATGAAATAGTTTAATTATAGAAATTACTATCTTGAACTTGAATGTAGCAAGGTTTGATTGCATATTTATCGAGAGGTTCTGCTTCATTTAAATAAGGAATCTTTTATTTCTATCACATTTCTCTCTCTCTCTTTTTTTTTTTTTTCATATAGTCAGAAATATGACTGTGTGGAAACGAATGCTAAAGCACTTTGATTCCTCCATGGCTTAGAAAAAGAAACTAAGTAAGCCTGAACACAAAATATCTTTCACATGTTCCGATAAAAAGATGCTTTCCCTTTGCTAGCTTGTCTTTTTTATATTTTTTAAACATGGGCATGCTCCAGAGTTCAGCCCAGAGCCAGTTTCTTCCCCTGCGTTCCCCTCACTCTCTCAGTGATTACTTCAGTCCCAGGACTGAAAACACTGTCCTTAATGCTGATGACTCCAGTACCAGAAGGCGTCACCAAAACCACCCTCATTAAATCACTGGTTTTTTCCTTCTGGGACAACTGCAGTAGGCTCTTTGCTGGTCTGTCTACCTCCATGCCTGTTGCTCTGCTGTTCTTTCTCTTGCTGTCCGGGTAGTCTTTTTAAAACTCAGTGTTTTCTTTTCATATTCAAAATAAAATCCAGTGTCCTTATCAGGTTCTTCAAGGGTATACATTATGTGTTTATCTCTGCCTCTTCATCGCTTCCTTTTCCCCTATAGCAGTAGTGGCTTTCTTGCTGTTTCTCATACCTGTCAACCCCCTTCCTCTTCAAAGTTCTTTGCTGTTTGTTCCATCTCTTTCTGATGGTCTTCCTCTTGTGCCCCCTCCCCCAGATATTTGCATGGTTCACTTTCCCCATCATTTAGATCTCTGATTAAAATGTCACTTTCTTAGAGGCATCTTCCCTATTCTCTTGTATAGTTTATGTGTTTCCTGTTTGAGTAAGTTCAGTGGGGTTACTGACTATATCTTGTCTGTCACTGGGTTCCCCAGTCCCTAGAAAAGTGTCTGACTATTCTACATAGAAGACTTTTGGACTCTGTGGGAGGAGGCGAGGGTGGGATGTTTCGAAAGAACAGCATGTATATTATCTATAGTGAAACAGATCACCAACCCAGGTGGGATGCATGAGACAAGTGCTCGGGCCTGGTGCACTGGGAAGACCCAGAGGAATCGGGTGGAGAGGGAGGTGTGAGGGGGGATCGGGATGGGGAATACATGTAACTCCATGGCTGATTCATGTCAGTGTATGACAAAACCCACTGAAATGTTGTGAAGTAATTAGCCTCCAACTAATAAAAATATATGAAAAGAAAAAAAAAAGAAGTAGGTAATCAATGAATATGTTATGTGACTAGTTAAGTGTCTAAGCGCTCACAGAATTTTGGGCAGTTTTGCAGATTCTTAAACATCTGAATTTCTCATTAACATGAATGGTATTAATCTCCTTGCTAATTTAGCTTCAAATGCTTAATAAGCAGGCCTTATTTGAATAAAGGGTCATGCTTAATCACGGAAAGGCTCAGTTTATTCCATAACATTATTTCTGAGAAAGTATATTAGTAGAGTCAGTTATTTAGTGGAAAAGTAGGGTAAAATAATACGCATTTCTCTATAACTCCCCAACCAGCCATTTTAGTTTCCTTTCTTAGATGCATTATGTATGTAAGATTACATTTAAGCTTTGTCTTAAAGCAAATATAAGTTTGAGAGGCTTACAGACAGAGGAGAAAGAACACAGACTTCAGAATCAAATCTATATTTGACTCTTGGCTCTGTACTTAGCTAGCTGTATCACCTTAGAGAAATT